TGTTAATAAAATAGCAGTCGGTGTAATATAACAGAGGTAAAAATATATATATAATTTATATTTATTAATAGATAGATAGATAGATAATTCAGATTATATTATTTTAGAATTTAATATTTTTCTGATCAATTTCAAAAATTGGCAAAGCATACCAAAGCAAAAATGCTTTACGAATTGTCTTACATATTTATAACTTCTTCGGATGCTCATCTAGATTAAACACGCACAAACGCACACGTATAAGCACGTATGCATAACTGTCTATCTATCTAGCTAGCTCGCTATCTGGTATGTAATCTTTACAAACATAATGGAAAAAATCATACCTTAAGAGTCTTAACCTTCAAGTGCGTGGACGCGTGTCTGCTTGTATAACGAATATAACAGTGTATATAAATTCATATCAGAACTCCATACAACTGCCACAGCAACCACAAAAGCGGCGCCTCTAATAAATATTTAATCATTATCATACATTATCATAATTATATCTTCTTCATTATAATGAGGATCATAATGAAATACTTTAATGTTGATTATAATGCAGTTCATTATGTCTTCATCATTATAATGTCTTCATTTGACATTAGTTAAGTTAAGCCTGCATCAAACTGCTATCACTGGTGATTTGTCTACAAACTTGGCATCGGGGTTTATTGCAGGTCATATTCCCTTATTGATGTGGTGAAAGGTGTGTACTGGATGGGGTTAAGAGGGATCATCATTTCAACTTAGAGCTAAAGAGATCAATTAGAAAAGATCCAACTCAATCCATAAAACTTTTGACACGTAATAGAGGAGTGAATAAAAGACTCGAAAATGAAATTGTGGGTGAAAAATGTGAGAAAGCTTGTTGCTCCAGCACAGAAAGCTAGAAGGTTAGAGAAGACTAAGATCATCTGGAATAAGTTGGAAACTGACCCTGGAATTATATATACATATATATATTTTTATGTTTAACGTTGTTATTTTATATAATAAAAATATGTCTTTAATAAATAAATTGTCGGACCTTGTCCATTTCTTAATACATATATATATATATATATATGTATTATTGTGTGACAGAAATTAGGAGGATTTGAGATAATTATAATTAAGTAATGCATCGAGTCTAGAAGAAACTTCAACAGAATGCAGTGGACGGCCGTTTCGTCCTTTATTTGTGACTCATCAGCAGTGCGCATCCTCTACCGAGAATTGAAACCTGGACATTTACGTTATCAATCAAACTTTATACCAATTGTTCCAACTTGGGCCGCGGTAAACAAGTGGTAGTGAATCAGACTCGATATAACGCCGCTTCATAACATATTCCGTTTCTCTTTTATCCATAGGTCTATGCCCCCACGAGCTACGACTGCTATCCCCAAGCCGCTCCATCCAGAGCATTAGAAGCTGGTTCAAGCAAGGATATACAAGTGATAGAAATTAAGAGGACTAGAGATTAATTATAATATTATAATTAAGTAGATCATAATTACCCAATTATATATATATATATATATATATATATATATATATATATAATTATTTATTTAAAAATGATAACAAATATGTTATAAAATCACTACAAAATAGCCATTTTGTTTCAGCACCTTCGGTGTCTTATCAGAAATGATGATGTTGGTATATATATATATATATATATATATATATATATATATATCTATATATATATATATATATTTGAACTTTATTCCAATCATTCATGAGCTTCTGATCCTTTCCTATGATTAATTAAAGATGAACATGTCATTTTCGTTTATGGTCGAATTCATAATGATTATTCTGTTAAGATTGGAGAGTAATTATACAATTCAAAAGTATTATAAAAACTTCTGAGAATTCCAGTAAAATGTATTTAATCATTTCTATGATCCAACAGTTCAGACCTTAATGCAATAATTGGATAATTTAACTTTTACACGCGGTATGTGTGTTTGCATATGTGTGTGCATGTGAATGTTATATCAAATTCCGGCACAATGGTAAATATATAGGACAATTTTAAAAGTAACGTCGATATGTTTCGCCGATGAAACTGCGTCATGAGATAAATTATTTTCTTTCAAAGTAACCAAATCTTCAAGATAAAACGTTATTCTTGCTCAGCCTCTGAATAATTGATATTTATTGTATCCATACAGATGCCATTGTTGTTACTATCGCCTCTCGCTATTTGTTCAGTAAAGCTATGAGACCTACTTGCCAATCTAGCATTACGCTTAAATTCATGCAGCCGAGGCAGCAAGTTCATTAGAATAATTGTCATGAAAATATTTGCAGAAAAAAAAAAACACTGGGAATCCACCTTACGGCGGTGGGAAATTAAGTGAAGTATAAATGTCAGCTCAGAACTGATTACATTACAGATACTTCTTTGGATTTTGTCAATATTTTTTAGCTCTACAGTAGGAGGAGAAAACCACAATAATTAATGCACAAACGATTGATAAATTTATAAAATTGCATAATAGATTATGTACGACACAGAGAAACACATTATCCTAGCAGCAATTATTTTCCATACAATCATTCCATTTATTCTACTGACGAATTCTAACAATAGCTTGAAAAATAGGAACTAAAAAGTTAATTATTCTTATAATCCGGAAAATGGGGAGTCGTTACTTATAGCATGCATGTTTTGGAAAGAAGGTGTGGAGAATACAACACTCACAAGATATTGAACGCAAGTGAAGATGTGGAAAATAGAAAGTAACATATTTAATATGTTTGAGTTAATGGATTGCAGAATATTGACAAGGTGGGGAAGGATAATGTTTCAGATTTATTTGAATCAACAAAAATAAGAAGTCATGAAGAGCCATGATCACAAGAATTCTGAAAATACACTTCACATTCCTTCTTACTCTTTCTTCCACGTTCTTTTCGTCGTCGTCATTACAGTCATTCATATCTTACCCTCCCCGTTTATCTCTTTGTATCTCTTTTTATTGTGAGCCCTGCTTTCTCTTTCTTTTTTTTCTGTTTAACGACAGCAAACATCATCATCATCATCGTCGTCATCATCATCATCGTCATCATCATCATTATCATTATCATCATCATCACAATTTTCAATCATTGGCGCTATCCATTGGTGATGATAGCCTCAGCCATTTCTCATTTATAACCAGCACTCTAATTACACTGACCTTGCCCCTACCTGCCCACTTTCCTTTTTGATTGAGAAGCACGCGCCGAGTGGGTCCCTGCTCTTATTTTTCTGCCTTTTTCCTTCCCATCCTTCTTCGTATGTCAGGTGTGAGTATCTGTATGCGTCGTGCAACGAGTAAGTGTTGCCCCGGGCAATAAGAGATTCGACTTTCGATCTTTTCCCATAAAACAATGGCCATATTAACTACCGCTTCTCTCATACAGCTACTTCATATCCTGATTTGTATTTCTCTCTTCATCTCGATGACTTTCTTTCGCCGTTTCGTTCTGTAAATCTCATTACTTTTGAATGCAAGTCTTTCTTTTCTTTATTTAAATGCCAAATCTTTTCTTTATTTAAATGCGTCTTCTTTTATTTTATTCGTTCTTGCGTCTAAATCTCTTTGCTTTGTTTTCCAACGTTTTCAGACGACACATAGTTGCCTTTTGTTTTATCCAATATTTTTACATCGTCTGTATTTCGTTTTCTCTCTTTTTGTTTTCATCTCTCTCTCTCTCTTTTCTCCTCTCTATCTGGCTCACGTCATTTTTTAGTTTATCTTCAAAGAATTTTATTCTTGAGGAAATATAATGAACTTGATTTTTTATCCTAAACAAAAATACTTATGTTCAGTTTCTCTGCTCCAATGCTTCGATTTCTTCCTTTATTTATTTCTTCCCAACAGCTTCTCTTTTTCTTAGTGATTTTTTTTTTGTTTTTTCTCCAATGAATTTCTATCATTCTAATGTATTTTAATTTTTTGTTTGTTTCTTCCCAACGAATTATCCTTTCCCCAGTGATCTTTCTTTCTTTCTTTCTATCGTTTTTTTTTTCTCTATTTGTATAATATTCTTTCTTTCCTAATGTTTATTTTTTTTCTTTCTGGGGATACCTTTCACTACAATTTCTTTCCAAAATTGTCTTTCTCCCCAATTCTCTTTCTTTCTTTCTTTCGTTCCATTTTCTTTCTTTCCAAGACATCTCCATTCCTGTAGGGGTTTTGATTCCGAAAGAAATATATATATTTTTTTTATATATTTACAATTCTTTCTTTCTTTCTACTTACATTATTTACATTATTCGGACTGTTATCCTCATCTTCATTGTCATATTCACAACGTTTCGATCGTTGTACGCTCCTGCCTTCTTCAACTGATTCGAATTTCGAAACGAACTCTATTTCTTTCACCGAGATAGATTATTCTAGTTCCACGGGTCATGCCTCTTCAGGATATCTCCGTTATTTCTCTTTAACGCAACTCTCCAAGTTATTTGTTCACCATTGCTGCGGCCTTGTATCCAACTCACAACTCTTTGGGTCTAGGCACTAGTTCTATCCACTGGGTCATGATTCCTTGCTTTCTTTCTGTCTATTTGTTTTTTTTTCTGTATAATAGCTCTCCTTCCTAAGGGTTTCTCTTTCTCTCCATTGTTATTTTTTTTCTTTCGATGTGATTTTCTTTCTCTATGATTTTCTTTGTTTCAAAAGGACTCTCTTTGCATTCACAGTCCTTTCATGCATTCATTCTTTCATCTTTCTGTCTTTCTTCCCATAGACATTTTCTCTATGATTTTCCTACCTATGTATTTTCTTTCTTTCTTTCTTTCTTTCTTTCTTTCTTTCTTTCTATTCATTCATCTTCCTTATCCAACCTGTCAGCAAATCTCATTATTTTGACGTTTTTTCTTTTTTTCACCGATTCTCTTTTATACATTTTCTTTTTTGTATGTTATTTTCGTTTAACGTTTTGGTTTTCCACAGTCATTATTATGACTTTATAACGCTCATTCTTCTTTATGTGTCTATATCTCTGAGATCAGATATTATGATTATTTACATTATTTACATTATTCGGACTATTATCCTCATCTTCATTGCCATAGTCACAACGTTATCTGGTAAGAAATATGCAATAATAATAACGGAAAAATTGCAATATGAGCACTGGTAAAAACGGTTTCTGAGACATTAGGCTTATAAGTCTCAGAAATCCATACGCCAATATTCTCAAGGACACGTGGCACGGGGCTGAAGGAGTTAGTTAGATCTAGTGACTTGAATCAAAGTGTTGTGAGTTCAATACCTGACTACAGAGGTGGTGAACTTGTAGAGTTGAATTAGAGGGAAATAGCTAAGACATCCGGAAGAGGCATGACACGTGAAATCGAGCAATCTACACCGGTGTACGAAATAATGTTCGAAATTTCAATCAGATGAAGAAGTCTAGAGTGTACAACCGCCGAAAGGTTGTGAATATGAAGATGAGGATAACAGTCCGAATAATGTAAGTAGTAATTCTTCATTTATGATATGGATTATTTTGCCTGATATTCCAATCATTTACTTCTATCGATTCGTCCAGTCTGATGTTTGTTTTATTTCTCTTTGATCTATAACTAAAATGTCTTTGATATTTTTCCTCATATTCCACATTACAGATCATTTATCTTTATTTCATTCGTTCTTAATTTCACAGAATTTCATTCACATTTTGTATATTCCTTCTCTGAAACTTCTGATATTTTACGTTTATACTTTTAAGCCTTTCCTACGGAATTTCTTCTTCAGCGAAACATTACTAATGTTCATTCTTTTCTTTAGACGTTTATGATTTCCCCTTCCAATATGTTTCTTCCACTCTTTTCATAGCTTTGATTTTTTTTTTTTTTTTTTTGCTCTTCCTGTGACACCATATCTCTGGGATATATTTCAGCCGGCTTTTGTGTTTGCAAAACAATATTTACATACTTGGTGTATCTCTTTCCTCAACAATGTAGTTTTTGTTTGATCGATATTTACATAGTTGGTCTTTCTCAATCAAAATTGACATCCCGTCTTTACTTGATCCAACTGTTCGTTTGTATCTTCTTTTATTCGACAAAGGTTTCGAATTTGTATTTTTTTTTCTGTAGATTTCAATTCTCATGACTAAACCTGCCTTTATGTATCTTTTCTATTCTTCTTTTCGGGGTATGTCTTTCTCTGTTTCCATTATTATTATTATTATTATTATTATTATTGTTTATCCTTAAAGAGGTTACGAACAAAGTTGGTACTCAAGTGAAGGAACAGCAACACGCGCGTAGGTGAAAGAAGTGAGGTTTATTGTAAAAGAGAATACACTACTGTAAGACAGGAGATCGTGTAGCAAGCTAGTAAGTCCTGAAGCAAAAGATATTTGCCACCACCCCACGCAGTCAGATGTGGCACAAGGCCGATTTTAACCTGGGGTATCCGAGTATAGGCTCGGGTAAAAATTCCCCATAGACCCCGTAAAAAAACGTGGTCGGGTAGATGTCTACCACACCAGACGAGACTCTGCCCTTCGGTAGAGCCTCGTCTGAGTTCGACTAGCACAGCCGGAGACGAATCACCAACTAATTGCCGAAGAAAAGCCCCAGGTATATGAGCTCACTATATATATCTACTGATATTGTCAGTACATATAGGCGATAGGGAGTGTGGGGCATTCCCTTACAACAACAATTATTATTATTATTATTATTATTATTATTATTATTCTTTGATTTCTGGTGTCTGTTCATTTCCATCCGGGTCCCACCTAGAAATCTAACGTCAAAAATAGCACCATGACATTTTCCAACGACGAGTTAAATAAACAAACAAAAGAAAATACAACACATATATTTTACATAAAGTTCTTCGTAAGGTGGGGGTGAGTAAAATTCTTTGTATTTCTTTAATGCATCGGCTTCCAGGAATCCCTTCAATGATTCTACTGGAAGTTTATTCCACCAAATCCGCGGGCTCCAACTACAATATGGATTGTTGTTGTTCCCATGTGCCACGTTTTTGAGATTTCGATTTCAATGTCCTTGTATCTTGATAGCTTTTTGAAGATCTTCAAAGATGCATTGCAGTCTGCGGAGACTGCCATATCATAAGGAAGCCTTTTCTTTTTAGTTGTGGTCTCTAATAACAATGTCTAGGCGGTTAGTTTTGATTGTTCTCTCTCTGTGTATTGTGTAGTCCCATAAAATTATTACAGGTCCTATCTCCATCACTTCCTCTTCTTCTTCTTCTTCTTCTTCTTCTTTTCTTCTTCTTCTCCTATTTCTTCTTCTACTTCTCCTCCTCCTCCTTCTTCTTCTTTTTCTTCTTCTTCTTTTCCTTCTTCTTATCCTCGTCCTCCTCCTCCTTTTCCTCGTCCTCCTTATCCTCGTCCTCGTCCTGGTCCTCCTCCTCCTCCTCCTCCTCCTTCTTCTTCTTCTTCTTCTTCTTCTTCTTCTCATCCTCGTCCTCCTCCTCCTTTTCCTTATCCTCGTCGTCGTGCTTCTTCTTCTTCTTTTTCTTCTTCTCATACTCGTCCTCCTCTTCCTTTTCCTCGTCTTCATTATCCTCGTCGTCGTTGTCCTCCTCCTCCTCCTCCTTCTTCTTCTTCTTCTTCTTCTTCTTCTTCTCATTTTCGTCCTCCTCCTCCTTTTCCTTATCCTCGTCGTCGTCGTCGTCCTCGTCCTCCTTCTTCTTCTTTTTCTTCTTCTTCTTCTCATTCTCGTCCTCCTCCTCCTTTTCCTTATCCTCGTCGTCGTCGTCGTCCTCGTCCTTCTTCTTCTTCTTTTTCTTCTTCTCATCCTCACCCCCCTCTTCCTTTTCCTCGTTTTTCTTATCCTCGTCGTCGTCGTCGTCCTCCTCCTCCTCCTCCTCCTTCTTCTTCTTCTTCTTCTATCACCATCCTAATCTTATTTATTTCACAGTTTTTTTGCCATGTGTTTTATAGCTTCGATACCTTTTATTTTACTTTCACAATTCATGTTATCACTTTTTCATTCTTATTCATTTTATCATCCGACCATTTCCCTTTTCTACCCTTCTTTTTCTTCGTCTCTTTATATAAGCTCCTTCTGTCATTACAATTCTCGTTTCCTTTCATAATTCAATATTCATCTCGTTTTCTTTTTTTTCTTCCCATTCATTGAAAAATCTATTTTTACTTTGTCATAATATTCCATCCATTATTTATATTTATATTTATTTCTCTTTTCAATGCCATGCGTTTCCATTTTACATTCATTCACCACATTTGGTTTTTAAGGTGCATTTCCGTTACTTTGTTGTTCTCTTTGAAAAATTCATTCAGAATTTTCGCTTTTATTTATTATTATTTATGATCTTCCATGAAGTTTCTTTCACATAGATTTTTACCCGGCTATTTTATTTCGTTCTTTTCTTCTTTCTCTTCCGTAACTTCTATAATTTTTACCATAACGACTCATTAACTGAAATCTGCGAGACAACCACTAAGGTGAGAGGCATTGTGAAATATGTTACATAATTCTCATTCTCTTTCTTTCGATCACTTACCCTTCATTTTTTTTTCCTATCGCACGCTATCTTTGGCCACTTATATTTCAGCAAAGCTCGCCCGAGGCAGGGAGAAAAGAAACTGTCCAAACGAGCCGAACCCAAGCGAGATTCCCTCACAACCGTCAGAACAAGTCTTTAATTAAGGCAAAACCTTTCCTTCTGTCTTCCTAAATGACTGGAAAGAAACCTTCGATGTTAAAAGCCTTTTCTCCTTTTTCCGAAACTTACGAACACATTAAGTGATCTTCGGCAATTTTCGGCATATTAGCCTCTAACTTCTTCGATTCAGTTCAGGACTTGACCACATACTTCGGCCAAATCAAAGACCAGAGAATTCCTAGGGGTCCATTTGAAAGATGGGCGTGTGAAGTAGTCGGTTAGAGATTGTTGGTCAGGGAAAGATTTCGGTCACTATTTCAGTAACACGCTACTTGATTTGCCGAAGGGAGATAATCTGCGTTCTTTTCTCTCTTTCACTGCTTCTCTCTTTTTTCCTCCTTCCTTTCTTTTTTTTTTTTTTTTTACAAGCTTTGTCGTTAACATTGAAGAAAACTTATAAGTGACACTGACCAGTTCGTACAAAATTGGTAAATGATGCAGAATGATTTAATGAAAAACGGGGAAGGAGTGTGAGAAATGAAAGCCAGAGGCAAAGTAAAAGGTGAAAGGAAAATTAAAAGGAGAGAACAGGGGATGACACGAAGAAATGTCTGGCTGACTTTCAATGAAAACGAAAGTTTTGCAGCAAAATGCCTGCAGTTTCCGTTTTGTTTTGTTTTTTTCTTTTCAATTTGTTCCATTTCAAAACGTATCAGGAGAGAAAAAGTACTTTTATACGACAAAATCGAAATGTACAACGATGTCAAGCATGATGGCACAATATTCAATTGGAGAGAACGTTATCTATGAAAATCGTCTAGAGTATTTAACAGCAATGAACAAGATCACTTAAAACGGGAAGATAATTATAAAATATTTGTCTTTCAGAAAAGGGTTTTCTTTTTTCATTAAGATACAAGAATAAAGCAAAGCCATGAAAGGACACCGAACTGGATGACGATTTCCGAAAAGTGAGAAGACCAGAGTTGAAGTAATGGCATAAAACGTACGACAAACTGATATCCATATCCTGCTGATATCCATCTGCCGTCCATTGGGGAAGAGGCTTCTAATCGCGAAATCGGGAGTAGTATGTGGATAAAAAAAAGCATTACAAATTCCAGATTTCACGCACTGAGCATCTGCATATGACAAGGCAGATTGTTAAACACCTGCGGCATTTTTAAACGTAGTGTTTCCTGGCCTGTGTGTGAAATTTTGAATCTCAAGATGGCCTTAAATGTCATCGAAGGAATAAAAACTTGTGTGTCATATCTCGGGCATAAAATATTGTTAATGTTTTATGAATTGAACATTTCATCATACACATTTATATTTGTGTACACACACACACACACACACACATATATATATATATATATATATATATATATATATATATATATATATATATATATATATATATATATACTAATACATTGGTAAATATACACATACATATGCAAAATATATATACATAGGTGCATACACATACATATGTATTTTTTTAATAAAAAATTCAAGAGGATAGAATCCAGGTAGAACTCAATGTCCAGGACAGAGTAAGGATATAATAAAAAAGGCTTAAACACTAATATTCCATAGTCATAATTTATTCCATTGGAATCGTAAATACGATCCAATTCATCAGACCTACAAATTCAAAAAAAAACAGAAAAAACAACTTCGGAAATAAAAATAGAATTTAGAGAGAGTGTAAGTATGAGAGTGTGGGACGAATATATATATATATATATATATATATATATATATATATATATATATATTGTTGAAACTTGACTAATGCTTGGAATAATAATGCAACACAAAATGTACTTAGAACAAAATGTATTGAAACAAGAAAGTATACACAATATTTACATATAGTATTTTGTATATTCCTGGGAAGACCGTTCCTGGAGAATGTGTTGACTTAGTCGCAGTCGCGCAGAGTCTCTGGATTGAATCTCTTGATTCCTCTGCCGTCTTCCCGGTACCAACCATATTTATATGGTCGGTAATCCACTATGCACATTAGGTGAATCCTACAACATATATATATATATATATATATATATATATATATATATACTCGACTCTCCTGTCGAGTTCGACGTATGAGGGTCAAGCAGATCACTTCCTAGGAAACCGACAGCCCGACAACAGCACTGAGATTGGATTATAGTGGGGAAGGTTTTGTGCAGGACCATCCACACTTTTTGAAGGGCCGAATACAAAGACCTGGTGCACTACGTCCCACAACGTCCCCAAACGACCCTCCGCAGGTTTTGAATTCAGAGTTGTCCTTCTCCTAGACCAGTTGCCATCCATGGCCATAGAATCCATTCTGTTCTGCTATTTACCCATAGCTGGAGGGAGAATAAGAAGATTCACACCTTTCCTAAGGGTATTAGCACGCAAATGAATGTAATGAATTCGACTGGAATTCGAACTCGGCTCTCCGATTCCTCAACCCAAACCGCTCAACCGTGCCTCTTCATATATATATATATATATATATATATATATATATATATATATATATATATATATATATATATATATATATATATATATATATAAACAAAATGCACAATGCTGGCTTTGTTTGACCGGAAATCATACGTGGCCTAGAGGTGCGACCCTCAGATCTAATGGCGGATGCAGGTTTGTTTCCTGCCGGAGGACGCATATTTTTCTGAGAAGCTTTATCAAATATGCAGGCCGCTAGATGTAGTTGCCTAAAAAAAATAATGTTTAATTTAATTAAAAAGCAGAGATTCAAATATGTGTCCACCAAAATGACATTTAAAGAAAATAAATTGAAGAATATTTCGGATTTAAAATATTTCCTAAAACTATATATACATATGTACAGACACACACACACACACATATATATATATATATATATATATATATATATATATATATATATAGGCACAAGAGTGTATTTAGATCTGCACGCTTACAGATATAAACTGGAATCTGCATATTAGAATCCACTTAAAATCTTGCTTGATATATGCATATAGACAAAACATACGTATATTGGTATATATTGGATATATATATATATATATATATATATATATATATATATATATATATATATATATATACGCAGTATCTTTAGAGTGAGAAAAATGCAAAAATTTTCTTTCTAATAGTTTTTATTTTCCCAAGTATTTTCAATCTCATCTGAGACCATCTTCAGGGCGATAAGCTGTTTTTGAGTATGTATATGTTTTTCTCTGAATTTTAAACATTTTCACTGTTCGTTCTTTTAAGACTTATGTGGCGTTTTCAATTTCAAAGTTCAAATTTTACATCTTCTTTTGTTTTTTTGTTTTTTTCCACTATAAAGGAAGTAACATTTTTTTTTCTTTTGCTTATACATATATAATCCATATATATTACTTTTTCATAAGTATTTACGGACTTTGTTGCTATACTCATTGTTGACTTTATTTAATTTAAGATACAGCAAACCTTTGGATATATAGTGCTCAATATTAAAAATATTGAAATAATATTAAAAATAGTGCGTTAATAATATTGTATGAAAAGATTAATTAACATTTAAATATCAATTTTATTTCGACTTCGAAGTTTCTTAGCAACGTTTCAAGTTGTCAGGAGTTTTGGTTTTAAACAGTAAGCATAATAGCAACAATTAAGTTAAACAACTTTTGTAAAGTGAAAATGTATGATAAATGTAAAATGTTTTCCCAAAGGTAACACTGGATATGAATATATCAAATATTTATATAAATTATTATAATTTTAAATGCATATTAAATATTTTTTATATAAAATTTGATATATTTACACACGTGGTTTAATTTATTGCATTTACGCTGGATGTTTTATATTTTTTTTTGAAACCTTCGACTATTTATCCAATTCAAAACTTTTGTGACCTTACATATGATGCATAAATTTCAGAGTGTCACTTGTATATGTGTGTATATTTATGTGCATAGATGAAATACTGCAAATAGCAGATATGTACATAATAGGTAAATGCAATAATAGGTATTCCCTATATATATATAGTTTTTTTATATATTATATATATATATATATATATATATATATATATATATATAAGTGAACACAGGTCAACACTTAGAGTCGACAGTCTGTTTCATGCTAGACGTAATTGTCAGGCCACGAGTGCTGTTCAAGAACAGCACTCGTGACCTGACATTTAAGACAGTCGACCTTATCCTCAAAAATAACAACACACCAACTAATTCAAAATTACAAAGAACGAACATTATCTATGAGTTCAAATGCCCCTTAAGGAACTGTGTTTCTGATCAAACCGGACTCATAAATAATTACATCGGTTACACAACTACATGCTTATCCAGACTTTTTACGTTACACCTATCTGATCACAGCTCCGTTAGAACCCATTTAAACACACACTCAGATATACCCGACACCATTAGGAACATACTAGTAGAAAACACAATTACATTAACTGCATCCACCTGCAAATAAG